CAACGCTTATCGCAAGATCGACAATTTGTTAAAGCAGAAGTGACATTCCCTTTAAAGGAACCAGTTCTCATAACTGATTCAGGGAAAAATAAGGAAACAACTTACGCTTTCGCTGACAAAGTCACACTTGTTCTGCATAATAAAAGAAATGATCAAAATCAACCAGATTTATGCGGCCCTATGCACCTGCAGACAATCTTTGGCCATCCAGCAAGTTCTGAAAACAGTCCTGGCTATAAATTTACAGTGACCAGAATAAATTCTCAAACCAACAGAAAAGAAGTAGAAACTACTACCCATATTCCGGATGATCAATGGGTGACGCCTAGAAATCAGGAGTGAAGGTGTGTCGATAATGTAGACATGGATACACATTACATTATCTATTTCTGTTCTCGTTCTCTTTCTCTTGTTTTTTATCGCAAATGTGATCTCGTGTGTTGCGTCATATAGTTCATTGTTGTCACACTTGAATTCATATTGTATCCATTTCTTCTTTGCTATTCAGATTCACCAGCCCACTTCCTGTTCATCTACATCGAAAATAAGCTAGCCAATCGCTTAATGAAGAAAACAAGTTCAATCTGTGTTATCCTCAACCAGAGTTGCCAGAACATCCGAATTTTTCGGAAAATCTTGAGGGTGTAGGTGTGGGGTTGTGCGAGGGTCTCTTGTTAACTAACACCCTCACCCACACCCTAATCATGCAACATATATTACATTACTTGCAGGAAATATATCAGCTGTACATGATTCAAGAATAACTGATACAGGTGTTACAATTAGTGATGCTCATAGAACCAATAGAAGAATAAGTTATATTATTGGTGTTTTCACGTTTATTAACTACTATTATGATTCAAGCTATAGTGTGGCTCAGTTGGATAATTGTAATTACTGATCTTACGAATGTATTTACTGCATTAATATCATTAAAATATATTTATATTATGAAGAATTTATATCTAGTATGTTTATTATGTATTTATATTATTGTTTCAGTATTAAATACATGGACTACTATACGACGTTATTCGTTATTAAATGATTCTATAAATGTACAATATTTAGCTACAGTTAGATCAAATCAAGGAACACGATCAGATTATTTATCAATATTAACTTGTATTATCGTTGGAATTATATTTAATATTATTTTTAATTTATTAGATATTAAACATGCACAATGATTTCGTATTACACCATTTGCAATAATTTTTGATAGTAAATCTTCACGTTTTACTTATGTACAATTAATAATACTTATTATTTCATAAGACATGGTTATTTCTTTGATTGATGTTATTAAAAGAAGTGCATGTGGCAAAGAATGTCTTCCTGAAGATGAATTATCAAGTCGAAATATAATTTGTAAAAAAGAATGGTTCAATTTTCCAGTTGGTACAATTTTTTCATTATTGTGATTCAAGAAAAACAAAATAAAAAAAGATTAAGAACATACATATATATATTGTTTAGTTTTATTGGTTAGCTTAGGTTTTCATCATATTTATAAAATAAAAAAGGAAATGGGACAGGAATTAATGCTAAAAATACTGATATACTTAGGTCATACCAAAAATAGTGGCAGTGATACTTCATTCTCGTGTCGA